TAAACTTCCTGTGGGATCTGGTTATATCAGACCAGGTGCTCCAATCCCCTGGAGATCAGATAGAGAAAGGGAAAAACCTTATCAGGGTTCTTTCTTATAATTGCTATGACCTAAAAAAAGCAAGGAGGCGATGCAAAATAATTCATACACCATTAGAACTACACACTTTAACAACTCCCTTTCTCTTCGCTTCATGCCACTCAGATTATGTGAATCTCTGCTTTGCTACACTGGCTGGCTGGCCTGTAACTCACATGAACGATTTAGATTTGACTCTGGGGCTCAGGTGCAGGGGAGGGGAGGGGTGTGGGGAAATCCTTCATGAAAATAAACAAGGCCTTGGGATTGAATAGTAGCTTTGACTAGTAAGGCTCATTGTCCAGCATTCCCAAGTCATCAAGCGACATATTGGCCTCTGCTACAAAAAAAGAACAGAGGATCCCTCAGCAGAATGAACGGAATCTGATTTCAATTATGTTCAGTACAGTCCTCCTCTTTAGATAGACAGGATAGAACACCTGGTGCAGCTGGGGCCACTGTGGCCACAGGGACAGCACATTATGTGGGTCTTAGAAGTAAGTGGAAGTGCTGCCCTCCTTCCTCAAGCTATGCCTCATGGGTCTAACAGAAGAGAACTTGAAAAAGGCAGCCAACTTTTCATAGGCACTGCACAGAGAAAGGGGGAATAATTCATCTTGACGGATTCCCACCTCCTGCAATATCTGCACATACTGATCTTGACTGTAATTAGTTTGCTTAGTTCTACAAGCCATAATCCCATTAAGATCTGAGTCACTGGTGGGAGAGGAGATGTGACAAATCTTTTCTTACTTATTGCACCAGCACTGATTGTTCTGTGTGTTCCTCTACCTCTTGGGGAAGCCCATAGGCCCACCTACATATAATTTTTTTGAATTCTTTCCTTCATTATCAACAGTTTTATTAATGGATGGCAAATGTAACAGGTGCTCCAGAGAGCAGCCTCTCTTCACAGTATTTTTCGATAAAACTTTCTGAGATTGATGGAAATGTTCTATATTTGTATTGTTCAATCTAGCAGCATTTTCAACCCTGGCAAAATGTCCAGTGAGAATGAAAGATGATATTTTAATTTTCTTTAATATTAATTAATGTAAATGCAAATAGATGCACATGGCTCATGGCTACTTTGTTGTACAATACAAATCTAGAATTAGTTTACATCTCTTTTTTTTAGCTTTAATTGAGTTTATCGGTACATTTCAGGGATACAGTACAGTTACATTTATTGTTGGGAACTTGGACCTCTACATGAGAAGTTTTGATTCTCATTTTTCCCCTTACCCCTGCCCTCCCTTCACCCCCTCCTCTCCTCCCCATCTACAAACACTTTATTTCCATCTTTTCATTATCTCACATTTTTTTCTTTTCCCTTATTACCCTTCCCCTACCCATCCCACCTTCCCTACACCTTTAGCTCCTTTCTTCCCATTTCTAAATGGCAGTAATCTTATTAGGATCTTATGTATAGAATTAGTTTAAAGAGTCACATACCGGGACATAGCAGGAGTGAGTTCATCAAAGAGAAAGTCAATGTGGCATAGAAAACTAAAATTGGAATAAGAAATCTCATTCTAATTCTAGCTCTGGCTCTGCCATTAGATTGCTTTGCCCTCTTTGGCTTCAGCCTCCCTATCTTTGACTTAGACTAATGCCAGAAATCCCAAAATCATGGCCAAAAACTAAATGAAGTTTTAGAATACATGATTTTTCAGAACATCTTTATGTATTATATGACTGCTTCTTGTGGGGGGAAGGCAGTAGTAAGTGCATTCATTCCAGTTCACCAGAGAGTCAGCCATTCTCATACATGCATGTGTACATATGTATACTCACCTACTGTGTTACTTACGTGTATACCCTATTAAAGGTATTTGCACTTATGATCCTGGATGAGATGATTTCTAAGGATCCCTCCTGTTTTGTCATGCTGTGAGTTTTAAAGTACCTATAGTGTCTCAAATCCCTTCCATTTAGGCAGGTGACTAGAATATTCCTGTCATCTCTTTTGTGGATGTGATGCTAGTTACTAAAGTCTGGAGACATGGGTGAAGATGGAAAGCAGAATATATATGCAACCCCAGCCTCTTTTCTCAAATCTGCTTTTACGATAAAATATAGGGTTTGGGATTTCATACTCCCTAGGGGGAAACAGCACTATATAGTAGAAAGAACACAGAATTTGTAGTCTCAGCAAGTTTAGATTGTTGAATTATGTTTCTTGATAGCTATGCTACCTCAGTTTGTTCATTTGAAAACCAAGAATCAGAAATATCTCCAACCCCCTAAGAATTAAATGACATAAAGTGTTCATGAGCTGAAACATAAGGTCCTGAAAAAATAGTACTTACTCTTATTCCTCTTAGTTACCTCAGGTACAGGGCTAATTATATCTCTGCCCTCCACTAGGCTGAAACAGGGCCTACATGGTCTGGCAACTCTTGAGCTCAAAGCAAGAAAGTGCCAGTGATAGGGAGAGCTTGGCCTTCCTGTAGGAACTGCACTAGAGAAACAAACCCTGTTAGCATCACCAGTCTGTTGAGCTGTGTATAAGAACCCATGTTAATAATGGGTTCATCAGAGGGTGAAATATGGGAGACAGTCTTCTAGCTCTGGACAAAAAATGGCTTGGCCCAGACCGTACCATACAGCCTGTGCTCTTGGTGGAACGTGGGAGTTGGCAGAAGCTGTACATATCTCCTTATTATTGACGGTGTCGAATCCCTGCAGAAATGATTTTTGGACAAGGTCATCTTGCACTCAGAGTTGGTTTTCCAGGCTTCTTTGATATTTTCCCCTGAGGTCCTCTTGTACCACCTACCCCAGCTCTTTCCTTTTCACCCTAGTTTGTGCTGCAGACATGGGAGCCATTTTTGCATTGATATACCCCAGTGACACTGATTTGTGTTTGTACTGAAGGACTTACTTTTCCAATTATACCTGAAAGTAAGTTCCAGATATGTATCACTTATTCACTTATTTCTACAGATGAGCAGTATTTTTATTGTATTTATCTACTTAAATGGATAGATTGGTTTAGAGAGGAGCGCAGAGGGTATTCAGTGTCTAGGTCGGTTCTACGTCCATATTCTCTACATCATTGAAAAATATTAGTCCAGTGGGACATTCATGCCTACAAAAGTCCCACCCTCAAACAATTTTTTTTTTATGATACCAGGGAATAAACTCAGGACCTTCTGCTTATGAAGCAGGTGTGGTGCCACTGAAATAAATCTGTAGCCCTTTGTTTTATGCTTCTTCTTATTACTACTACTAGTATTATTATTATTTCAAAAGAATTAGAGAACAGTGGTTTGTGGTCAGCTTCTGATGTATCTGCTTATGCTAGGCCTGAGTTATGACCTTTTAAACTATTTATGCTTCTGTGGATATACATGCTAGGGAAAATAGCATAAAACAAACATTGTAATGCCAAAAGATTTCTATAATGTGTGTGTGTGTGTGTGTGCGCACATGCACGTACACACATATTTGAAAAGTTACTTCTTAAATTTTGAGTTTAAGATTGTCATTGTTGTAAGTAATGTTATTTCTAAAATCCTTTCTAATGGCTGCTTCCTAGCGTGATTCCCATTTTACAGATAGATGGTGGAGGCAGAGATATTTTATCATTTCTTCGCTATTATTAGGGATTTCAGTCATTCATCTTTTCCCTCTCTCTGTTTCTAAAGAAAATTAGTGTTCAAGTCATAGTACATGTTCAGCTATGGGTATAATTCTCACATCTGAAGCTCTTTAAATGTTTAATGGAAAATAGAATACCAGAAAATTCCTGCTCATTGTGCCCAAAGGCTTTATAAAATTTCATAGTCTAAAGGTATGAAACCTTCAAGGATATATACAGTTTTACCTCATTCCTATCTGATGCTTAAATTCTCAATCATTGTGCCATCTAGTCTCTGATCATCCACAGTAATGTAAGTGCCAGGTATCTTTTCCGTGTTGGGAGAACTTTGACTTATAAAATGTGTGTGTAAACTATGGAGAACTAAATTTCAAGTTACTATATATTTTGATACCTGTAGGAATCCATAGAGCAACTCTAGACCTTCTTTAACTGATCTGCCCTCCTTGTCGTTTCTCCTAGCAACCTGCAGACATGTTGGAAATAGACACGTTTACATCCCTTTCTTGATTTATAACATTCAGCATTTACATAGTAGGTATAAGATACAGACTGGTCATCTTAATATGATACATATGACCCTTTAAAATTAGGTGCAGAATTTGCTTTTATCCTTAAAAATAGCTACACCTCCAGCCACACTGAGCTCTAGTCATTCCCCTAAACACTCCTCAGTGCTTTTGTTTATGCTCTCTCCACCCAAGTCCTCCTGGTATAGGCCTCACCAGTCTTATAAGCTCTAGGTCAAAAGCTACTTTTGATGTAAAGCATTTACTAACTCTACTCATTCAGAGAGACTATTGCCTTTCCTCATTTTAGAGCCTCTATTGCAGCATTTACCAGCTTGTTGTTTTCTAGAATTGTTTGTGGTCACTTATTTTTGCTTTACCAGACAGAGGCAGGGCCTGTGACCTTTCTTACACCCAGAAACAAAGGGATAACAGTGGATATCCACAGAATGAATAAATGAATGATGAATATTTTTATAAATTAATGAATTGAAGGTACCATGTTTGAATACTGAAAGTTATATTCAGGCAGAGCCAAATGCAAGAGACGATACTAGGCTATTCTGGCATGAGGATCAGGAAAGAAAGCAAGGTATGGAAGTTTGGGCTTAGCAGAGATTTGGGATGATGAATCATTCATTCAAACAGTGTTGAGTGAGCACTTGATCTTAGGGAGTTTAGCACCTCTGACCAGGGAGAAGGGACATCTTTATTTTCTTAGCTTAGGCAGCTTTCCTAGCAGTGCAGCTCTGCTCTATGATTTTGGCCCCTGGTGACAAACTCAAGTTTTTCTTCCTTCCCAATAGCCCGTAAGCTGAAGAAACTTGGCAATTTAAAACTACAGGAAGAAGGAGAAGCATCCAGCGCCAGCAGCCCCACTGAGGAGCCATCCCAGAAGATGACAGTATCACACATGGAAGGCTATGAGTGTCAGCCCATCTTCCTGAATGTCTTAGAAGCCATTGAGCCAGGTGTGGTGTGTGCCGGACATGACAACAACCAACCTGACTCCTTTGCAGCCTTGTTGTCCAGCCTCAACGAACTAGGAGAGAGACAGCTTGTACATGTGGTCAAGTGGGCCAAAGCCTTGCCTGGTAAGAAAAAGGAAAATGGGTGCACATGCTAAAGGAAATCATGCTTAGTGAACACTCTGAGGGAGCAGGTGCTCATTACCTCATGCAGTAGTCACTATTATCCCATAGTGAATGGATGGGTAGAACCCTGATTTCAAACATAAGGAAATGAAAACTCAGAAAGCAAGGATAAAGGTACATGATAGTAACCCATATGACTCATGTCGATGCACAGCAGTCATATTTTGTTCAATCCACAGATATGTGCGGCAAAATTTCCCATAATTACACATCTTATAAGACATGCTTATGATTCTCTTGTACATGTGGATACATAGGCTCACACCTTTGGAATCTTGAGTCTGACTGACATTTTTACTCAGGAACTACACCATGTGATCTTGAAGTATGACTGAAAGAACATGGGGTTGTGAGTCAGAACACTTGAATGCTAGTCTTAGTGCATCTGATAATGCATTAAATGATCCCTTTCCCTTCTCTGTCTCGGTTTCTCCATCTATATAATGTGTAAAGGGTGCTTAGGACTAAACTGTTAATTTGGAAACTTTGCTTCAAGAAATGCTTAATGTTCTTTAAACTAGGAATCATAATTGGAGGAAAAGGTAAGTGACAGTGAAAGAATTATCAAGTGTTTGCCTAAGTTCTGCCTGGATACCTCTGTTGGTGGCAAACTTACTCTATTCCTAAGCTATCATTTTTTTTCCTTAAACCAGTCTGATTATGAAAACATTACAATTTACAGAAGTTTAGAGAGCCTCTGCCCAAGGATTCACAAACTTTCCTTCAGCAGCCAAATGCTTTATTTCTCAAGAGCATTGTACATAGACACAAATGTAAGAGGTTGATTTAACGCCAGTCTTTGACCTGTTCCTTACCAGCTCAAACTCGGCTTTCTTATTCCAGGTAAACCCCAGGATATTCTTGCTGAATACTGTGGCTCCAAGGAACACAGTTTGAAAACCAGTGAAGCATATCCTCTTTAAAGGGTCTCCTAATCCTGAGATTATGTGATTCAAAGATTCTTTTGAAACATCAGTAACCTATGGAGTCAAAGATTAACCTGCTTCTCTAACAGTTATCGCCATTCAATGGAAATATTTAATGAAAAGAACAGTTTCCTTTCCATTACTTGATTTGATTCTTAGCCAAATGGATGCCTATCAAGGCTATACTCTTACATGAAATAAATAGGACACACATGTGTAAATACCGAATTGACTGTCTGGTATGACAAACTGAAAGTGTAAATGAGGACCAAAATGTATAATAGATAATATGAAACAGGAAGCAAAGGCTCAAAGGGAGAGGGGATGTGGTGTGGAGGAATAAGGAAAAGAAAAAATGAGAAAAGAAGGGAAAATAATTGACAATGTGAAATAGGAAGAAAAGGGCTAAAGGTGTAAAGAAACTGGGAAGGGTGGGGGAAAGGTAATAAGGGAAAACAAAAAATATGAGAAAATGAAAAAATGGAAATAAAGTGTTTGTAAATGGGGAGGGTGGAGGGGGTGAAGGGAGGGCAGGGATAAGGGGAAAAATGAGAATCAAGACCTGTCATGTAAAGGTATAAGATCCCAATGATGAATGTAACTGTACTGTATACCTAAAATGTACCAATAAACTCAATGAGAGAGAAAAAAAAAAAGAAAAGGAGGAAAAAAACAGAAAAAAGTCTTTGTAAATAGGGAGGGGTGGAGGAGTGGAAGGGAGGGAAGGGGAATGGGAAAAATCAAGAACTAAGATATGATCATGTATAGGTACAAATTCCCAATGATGAATATGATCATAATCTATACCTAAAATGTACCAATAAAGTTAATTTTCAAAAATTCTATAAAGTAGGGACCATTTCCCTTATTTTGAAAAGATAAGGAAGTTCTGAGAGGAGATGTTACTGGCTTACAGTTACACAGCCAGAAAGTAGCAGGTCCAGGTCCCCTCTGAATCTCATCCTCATTGCAATCTACGTATAGTTTTGTGCTGTCTCACTTGTTCTGAAACTCTGGGCTTTACTGTGAGTGACCAAAGCTTTATCAAAGTCCACTTCGGTTATATGATGTTCTTGCTACTTTTCATGATACTGCATATTCGAAATCAAGCTCCTATTTTGTATTTCTAACTTATATGGCCCAGTTGCAGACACTAGACTGTCACTAACACTTTCTCAGCTTGGGAAGTTGAAGTTGACTAGCCAATAAGATCACTGGGAAGAAAGCCCAAGGACTCTGGCTGGATATGCACTGTGCCAAAATTGAAAGTTCACACAGGGAGAAAGAAATACAGCGGGGAGAATACAAAAGGAAAAAGAGAAAGCTGTTTTAATTCTTATCGCTTGTTCAACTGGATGTCTTGATGTCACATGTTTGATAGAGATTCAAAGTTCAGTCTTCCAAACAATTTCCAAATACTTTATATATCTTATTTTATAGGATACAAAGCCTTTTTATATATAGATTTTCAAAAACAGTTGTATGAATCATAGTGACTTATTTCCATTTCACATGACACAGCTGAAAGAGGTTAACTAATTTGTTGGATTGGTCACTTAAAAATGGAACCAGAACTTGAGCTGAGATCCTCTGATTTCTAATTGGGTGGTCTTGACAATAAACTGCTGCTCATTACTGTTGCAGAAATTATATAACTGGAGGTCACTGGATTTCCTCAGCCTAATCCTCATGTTAGACGCTCTCCTTATATTAAGAAATCTGCAAGAGAAAATCAGTTCAACATCTAGCTTACTAAAGTAAATGTTCTCTGACTTTGAGTAATTTAGAAGAATAGCCTCCAAAGAAAGCTGACTATTACCATATTCATAAGAATTCCTTTTCATATTGTCAGTAATCACCTAGTAGTTCAAGTAATCTGTTCATTCAAAGATTGCGGTCCTGTCCTGTTTGAGACATTGCGATAAGCACATGATCAAATGATTTCTTTGTAAAGGTTTCTCTGATGGTGATGATATCTGGAAACTGTCTAGTAGGGTTCCTGGCATGTTAGCAAATTGTGACTCACCATAAATTGGGGTCAAGCGAGTTGATTATACACAGTATATTCAGAAGCAGATGTATTTAGTTTGCGATCCTAGTTTTGTATTGACTATATGACCTCAAGCAAATCACATGTTTTCTTTGTGCTTCTCTTTTCTCATTTGTGGTGATGGTAGGACAATAGCTGACTTAAAAATTATCATCAAAATAGAGATCATATATCAAGAGTACATAGTACTTTAACTGAAACATACTAGGTAGTTTGTAAATGGTGTCTCTTTATTGTGAAGCTTGAGTGCTAAGCTATTGCTTTAACTAAGCTAACACTTCCCTCATGTAGAAGCTTATACATGGGCGCCAAAGTTGAATTGTCTTCTTTGAGGGCTTTGGCTGGCAGGAACACTATAGTTCCCAAGATTTCCAAAATGCCCCTGCTTTCAGCCTGCTGTCCCAGTCTAGAGATGAGACTACAAGTATCTATTGCATATTGATAACAGTGATATTGATTGGGTTCTAATGAGAAAACAAAAGAATTTCCTCTGCTCCTTTACCTGCTTGGTGTTTTTCAAAACTGAAGAATGACTTCTCTCTATTTCTCCAAAACAATATCACATAGTGGCAAATAGGTGTTGAGTGAATGTGTGTCTCTGGAAATCTGTAGAGCTGAGGCTATTGTCTCCTGAAATCACCCCTTGATAATCATGCTATCATCTTAGCAGGCTACTTCAAAATCTGAGCATTAAAAAAAGAGTTAGATATCATAATCACATTAGACCAATAGGAAAATCAGCCTCCTATGTTTCTGATGTGCACACAGTAATTAGATTTGAGTACTAAGTAGCTCTCACTAAGGAGTGTTAATGAACATTAGAGCCAAATTAATTTTTTTTTCCATTTTTTACCTCTCTCTGAAGTCTGATATTGGGGGAACATCTGTATCTGTATGGACATTTTCTTTGATAACCTTGACAGCTTAATCCATGTCACTCCACACACCCTGACATTCACATACCAGTCTGTCTTTGTCTCTGTCTCTGTCTCTCTCTCTCTCTCCCCCCACTCTCCTCTTCCTCCTTCTCCACCTTCTCTTTTTCTTCCTTTTCATTTTCCTCCTCCTCCTCCTCCTCCTTCCTCCTCTTCTCTCCCTCTCCCTATCCCTCTCTCTCTGTCTTTGCTGACCATTGTCTTCCATCCAAGAGATTTGGGGTTAAACTCCCAGGCCATTTCCCCAAAAGGATTCTTAAAAGTTTCTGTTCTTCTTGCTCCTACTGGGAAGGGTCAGTCACAGGCATTTTATATTATAAAAGCATAACAGGGTTCTAGGAATGAGACACTCCATAATGTGTAATGAGAAAGTAAGAAAAGAATCATTAAGCCTTCTTCTGATATATATTTCAAAAGACTTCACAGAGCATGTGGTCTTTGAGTAGTTTTGAAGGATGATTGGTGTTTATCAGATGGAAAGCCTGAATAGAGGAAATACTTTCTAGGCAAAGGCAAAAGTTTGTGCAGAGATAGCAAATCTCTAGTGGCCTGGAAAAGCATGAAATGTTGGCCCGGGGATTTAGCTCAGTGTTTCTGCTGCCTGCCTTGCAAGCACAAGGTCCCAAGTTCAATCCCCGTAACATAAAATGTTCAGCAAATTCTAAGTTTTTCAGAAGGGCTGAAATATAAATTATCTGATAATGTGAAATAGGGAGTGAAGGGCTAAAGGCGTAGGGGAAGTGGGAAGAACAGGGGAAAGGAAATAAGGGGCAAAAAAATGTGAGAAAAGGAAAAAATGGAAACAAATTCTTTGTAAATAGGGGAGGGTGGAGGGGATGAAGGGAGGGCAGGGATATAGGGAAAAAATGAGAGCCAAGATCTGTCGTGTAAGGGTACAGTATCCCAATGATGAATGTAACTGTGCTGTATACTTAAAAAGTACCAATAAACTCAATAAGATTAAAAAAACAAGGAAGCAGTAAGAAATTAGTCTAGGGAGGCAGGGCACAAAGGGCTTGTTTGTGTCTAAGGGTAGAGAGGGGATGGCAGAAGGGTAAGAAACTAGCAGAACCAGGGTTCCTATTAAGTAGAAAAGAATGGAGAGGAAGTGTGGGGCAGAAAGAAAGTCAGCAAAAAGAGAGCTTGAATGTGGTGTGGAGAAGGCAGTGGCTGTCAGCACAGTCCCCACATATGTTTTTATATAATTATGCGTTGTTACAAGATTCAAATCAGATTATGGCTATAAGAGAGCTTTGTAATATGAGAATTGCGGTCTATGTGGAAGAACTGGTTATTACCCTGCATCTTCATAAAGGTGTAATGATCAAGAGCCTGAGTTTTGGAGTTTGTTTGGGTTTTTGGAATTTGGTCTGCCAATTACTGGCCCTATAATCTTGGACATGTTCCTTAACCTCTCTGTCATTTTCTACTGATCACAGAATGGGGATAGAAAGAATACCTGTTTTATTTATTGTTGTGATGATTAAATGAGATAATATTAAGTAAACCCCTTTGAAAGAAGTTAATTCATTAGGAAATTAGCATTAGTTATTATTCTCTTCCAACTAACAATACCCTTTTTGCCTCTATTATCTCATTGATCAGCTCAGTGAGGTAGGGTGGACAAAGAATATTAACCCTACGATATAGTGTTTTTTTTCTCCTATCCTTTAGCTGCTAGCACTGATGGTCCCTGTGGTTTCTTAGGGCCTGCAGAGTGCTAAGGAGCCCCATCTCAGCAGAGACCCAGTCTTAGCTCAGCCCAGCAATGCTTGGATTGATGACCATCTCTGTCCCTTCTTCTTTAGGCTTCCGCAACTTGCATGTGGATGACCAGATGGCAGTCATTCAGTACTCTTGGATGGGACTCATGGTGTTTGCCATGGGCTGGCGGTCCTTCACCAATGTGAACTCCAGAATGCTCTATTTTGCACCTGACCTGGTTTTCAATGAGTAAGTGGTACTGCGACCAGATCTCCATAAATACAGCAGCTTGGAAAGATGTGGCTGGTTGTGGTGGTGAAGGCGTTAACAGTGTAAATTAGCACTTTGGGCCTGTAGGTGAGGCACTGGAGGCCTTAGCCAACCAGCCCAGTCTGAGGTGGCTTTGTCTCGCTGGAAAGCCACTGGTGGGAGTTTGGGGTTGGTAGTGATAAGGCTATCCCTTTTCTACACAAGACCCAATCCTACTATTATGGTAACTTCTGACTTGCTTTGTAGCTTATCCAGAATGTCAGTATAAAGGTCCCTTCTATTCACTGAACAGTATACATAAGGATCAGAGAGACTCTAGTTGTGAAGACTAAAGTTCCTTTGGTCTCTTTGATGTCTCTGATGGCTGCCATTAATGAACATTTATTGAGCAACTATTTTATGTCAGGACTATACTAGCTACTTCCTAAATCCTGTCTCATGGACTCCTTATGGTAACCTGATCTCCCTAAAAGACAGTCTTTGATTTTTATGAATAGAGGAATTCAGATTCTTCAAATAAAGTAAATTTGCCCAGCCATTTCCCTTTCCTTAAACAGGTTTACTTTGTACCTGCACTGCTACCAGCCCTATTTGTCCTTCATGAATTTGTTTGTCTAGGGGCTCAAATTTTGGAATTGCATTTTTATTCACTAAAATATCAGTTCTACTCTTTCCCATATCATCTCTGGACAAGACTATTAACCTCCCTGATTACCATTTTTATAATCTGTTGATAATAATAGAAGTTTATTTTTTTCCTCATTGAATTTATTGGTACATTTTGGGTATACAGTACAGTTACATTCATTTTTGGGATCTTGTACCTTTACATGACAGGTCTTAGTTCTCATTTTTTCCCCTTATCCCTGCCTTCCCTTCACCCCTCCTCCCTCCCCATTTACAAACACTTTATTTCCATTTTTGCATTTTCTCATATTTTGTTTCTTTTCCCTTATTACCTTTCCCATGCCCTTCCCACTTTTCCTACAATAGAAGTTTCTTAAATGGTTTTGTTATAACAAAATGGGAATTGATGGACATGGAGAATCTGGCCCATGATGCTAGAAATAATAATAAAGAAGAAATCCCTTCCTGATTCCTCTTTTTCCTAATAGTGATAAACTTCTCTGTGACAGCTCTCTGAGATCCCTCAATGGACTTGTGAATGGAGCTGACCAGAATAATGTTCCCAAGAACCTTGAGCTACTTTCACCACAGAGAATCCTTTCAGTCAGGGTAGGAATTGAACTTTCCTCTCCTTTAGCACAGAAGAGCCTTAAATAAAATCTACAGGTCAGTGGTTCCTTAAACTACTGTTGTGTCATGCAAGGGAGTCAGTGTCCCCAGCTGCCCCTTGTCAACCCTGCCAGCTTTGGTAGCCAGAAGCTAAGAATAGCCACTGGGATTGTGGCATGACCTGTTTTGTGGTTTCTATATCTCCAAAGTCTTACCTATAACGCCATCTTCTGGAGCAGACCTTGAAAAGACCCCCCCCCCAACTATTCGTCTACCCCTTCTTAAGCCCTCACTAACCTTGAGTGATTTGGTCAAATGCCTGAGCACTTGATCCATTTTCCCTCCATCCCTGAGACCTTTGAGGTTTTCAAGGTGATAATTCCCTATCTTCTAAATTCTTATTTAATTCTATGTATCTGTGTAAGCATATGGCACCATCCCTCACTACCTCAACTTTTTTTATTGGTCCCATTCATCTCATCAAAAGGTTCCACAGGATTCCTCACAATGTCAGGGGCCTACCAAGCATCATGGATCCCAAAACAAGTACTCTTCTGCTTTCAAGAACCCACTATATTAGAGCTCTCAGAGTTCCTTCAAATGTATAAACTAATGTTTCAAAATGTAGCTACTGTTGACATTTGGGGATAAGGAATTTTTCATTGTGCAAGACATATTGGAATATGTTTAGCATCCCTAGCACTAGCACTTGCCTGCTATGTAGGATTCCAGTCACTCTGCAGCCCAAACTTTACACACACATTTCTAATAGCCACTGAGAAGGCATTACTCTGAAAATGAGAGCCAATCATAGCTGTTTGCTTCCTCAAAGTGCTAATGGGGTCATTGAGGCCCAAAGAGAGATATAAAGACTAGTCCAAGCCAGGCCAACCCATGTACTGTTCTTCTTGACACCCAACCATATCATCAGCCCTGTTGTATTCTTTACTTCCCTTTTTGTGAATAGCACGTGTTTTGAGGAGAGTGGGCTTCAATCCTGACCTTGAGGAAATTACTTCTCAGAACCTCAACTCTCAGCTGTAAAAAATGAATAGTATCATAATAATACCTTCTTCCATGTCATTCACTGAGCACTTATTGTGTGCTAGGAACTGCTCAAATGCTTTCCAATTTTCATTTCTCCTCTTAGTCATTCTTGTTCATTTCTACCTTCCTCTACTGTCTTCCGGAATTCTATTCCTGCCCCTCCTTTTCTATCCTCCATTCTCCTTCCTCTTTCCTTCCTTTACCTCTGTTGAGATTTTTTTGCCTGTTCTCCCTGCTTCTTGGTCCCTTATCCTATGAATTCCTTCCCTTAACTTTCCTCTCTCCTCTCCACTTCTTACTTTCTCTGACTCAGGGGCTTGCCACAATATTCTAGGAATCCTCCATACCAGGACATTGATTTCAATAGTAAGAAGACTGCAGTGTCCTCAGAGTAGAAGCGTAGAAATACAGTGGAGACCAGTGTAAGTTCAGGTTTTCCAAGCCACCAGATCTTATTAAAAAATTCTATAGATAATGTGAAATAGGAAGAAAAGGTCAAAAGGGGGAAGTGGGAGGTATAAGAGAAAAGAAATAAGGGAAAGGAAAGGAATAAATATAAAAAATGAAAAAAGAAATAGTCTTTGTAAATAGAAAGGGGTGAAGGGGTTGAAGAGAGGGCAGGGAAGTGGGGAAAAATAAAAATCAAGATATATCATGTAAATGTACAAATTTCCAATGATGAATGTCATTTTGTATACCCAAAATGTACCAATAAACTTAATAAATTTAAAAAAATTCTATGGAGTGAAAGAGCTGAGAGCACCACTGTTCTTGTTAGCTGACTTGTGATACCATGTAAACACTTCCCCATTTCAGTTGGAATTCAGCATGAATTGAATAATTCTACAGTATCTGCCCCCCTCTGTCTATCTCCTGGAAAGCCAAGACTTCCCTGAGTTAGATTGCCAAGCTTCCACCGAGACAGTGCCAGGCCTACTCAGCCTGTGGCCCAGGCTAGTGGCTTGGGAAGCATAATGTCAAACCACAATATTTAAAGACTATCTGGGAGGTCTTTTTCCTCACCTCTAAGTGAGTGTCAAATTCCCTTTCCTTCCTTCATATGCTACTCAATCAATTGATGTCTTACATATACACACACTCTTAATTTCTGAAGTGATGAAAAGTGGAATGCCGACTAGTGGGAATACACTGTCTTCTCTCAGAGGTATTCTATGACCATGCATGGATCAGAGTCTGCTCCCCTATACCAAAGCTATCTAAACCTTGGCAACTTCCCCATATAATTTATTGGTGGTAATGTGATGATCTGTTCACAAGTCACTATAATAAAAATTGCTCACATACGTTTTAGCTCTTAAAGCTGTCGTAAGGAACAGCTAGTCTTTGAAGGAATGGGTTTCCCCTTTAGCAGGGGACATTTAACGCAGACATTCAAATACACTTTCTGGCACATTTTAAAGCATTGGAACTTACTTTGAAAGAATAATGTAGAATCTCCATGTCTGGGAGTGTTTAAAGAAATGATTAAATTTCTAGTGAGATAAATGGCTTTCAAACCAAGAGGCAGGCAGGGGTGTTGACAGGATAAACACCTGTGGTCACTTGCAAATCCTGGTGTTGAGCTGATTGCTGAGTACTCTGTCCTAGATATTCTCCAAATTAGACTGCCTAGGAGGCAGATTCTGGCTGTAACTTTAGCGAAGATACTAGAACCATAGCCAGGGAGACCATTTGCCTGCCCCATTGTACGCATTTGTTTATGCTTTCCTGTCTTTGTCTCAGGAAACAGAAGGGGCACATAGAGCTGTAAATTCCATGTACTGATCCATATCCTGACCAAGGAAGATGAGTAGTTATCAGGATGTCAGTACTGGGAGGGGGGGACACACCTTGTTCCTCATCACTGAACCACAATCAGGAGAAATAGTAAGCATTTCTTGTAGAACCTAGAGAAGGAGGAAAAACAGATAAATTTCCTTTGGGACTGTTGGAAGCTTCCCCTCATTCATCTTCTCCCTCTATATCTTCTTCCCAGGTACCGCATGCACAAGTCCCGGATGTACAGCCAGTGTGTCAGAATGAGGCATCTCTCTCAAGAGTTTGGATGGCTCCAAATCACACCCCAGGAATTCCTGTGCATGAAAGCACTGCTACTCTTCAGCATTAGTAAGTGCCTAGAGGCACAGGGAATGCCCCTGGGGGCATAGAGGCTCAGGGAAGTGCACTTTCTCTTTAAAAATATCAAGGAGAAGCCAGCCTCTGAACATTTCCCTTCCTCTTTCCTCCCTCCACTCTACTTCAGCATGCTTTTTCTTAACAAAGACCAATTTCATGCCCAGAGATCAATCATTTTATTTTGATTAATCCAGCCACCATCAGATTCTCATCAACCCCCAGTCTCTCCTTTGGGACTAGGCCTTTTTGGCTGGTTGTAGCAAGCTTTTGAATTTTTCCATAGCTTCTGCTACAGAAACAGGCATGAGCCACCTTGTATTTCTTGCAGAGCTGTACACAGGAGGAATTGCCTCCTGGAAGGCATTTCCCCTTCTACCAACAGGAGGAGGTCTATGTAAGCAACTCATAGACAGAGCTGTTTCGGCAGCCAAGCTACCTTTCTTTAATGTCTCTTCTAAGCCAGAACACCTCATTTCTGTAAGGAAGAAAGAAGGCAAAATTTAGTATCCAAAGCCATGTGTTTTAATTGTTCAAATCAGAGCTAGATGGTAAACAGTATAAAACCTTAGTTCCTAAGAAGTGAGTACATGAGAATACTAGAAAAAGGACAGCTTCAGTAAATTTTATTCATTTGACCTCCTTCAGATTGGGTCCAGCTATGCTTTTCCCTGTGAGCTTCCTGGCAAACTGAAAGGCCCAAGCCCACAGGCTTCAATTGACAGGAAGCCAAGTAGATTATTCCCTCCTTGTGGGGGTGGGGGGTCAAATTTGTGGTCAGAAAACTTGGTGCTTTGTCTAATGCTCCTTTGTGGGCATGCTTCCCCTATGCATTCTGTCTTCATCCCACATCAGTTCCAGTGGATGGGCTGAAAAATCAAAAATTCTTTGATGAACTTCGAATGAACTACATCAAGGAACTCGATCGTATCATTGCATGCAAAAGAAAAAATCCCACATCCTGCTCAAGGCGCTTCTACCAGCTCACAAAGCTCCTGGACTCTGTGCAGCCTGTAAGCAAATGATGGAGGGTATCATCTCTGGGGACAAGGGCCAGACATTCAGTTTGTCTGTATCAGAGAGAGCAACCTGATAGAGACAAGTGATAATAACGCTTCTCTAGGGTCTGGCACCACCTGTTGGGAGGTGTTTCCATCTCCTCTGGCTTTGACTGTGGTCCAGGAAGAAAATGCCATGGAAAAGACAGGGCCACAGGTCACAGTGTCCCAGCTGGCTGTTGTGAAAGGGGTGGTGGAGTTAAGAACAGAGCAACTGGGACTCAGGAAAGAGTTTAAAGTTGATAAATCCTCCAGACAGATAAAACAGACCTGAGTGTTTTTCTTTTCCTCTTTCCTGAGTCATGTGAGTTTGCCTCTTTCTGTGCATGTGCGTGTGTGTGTGTGTGTGTGTGTGTGTGTGTGTGTGTGTGTGTGTGTGTGTGTGAGAGTGGAGAGAGAGAGAGAGAGAGAGAGAGAGAGAGAACATCAGTGTTAAAGAGAAATGCCCAGTCCTGCCTGAATCAAAGAACCCTCAGTGATTTCCTAAAGACCATTTCACACACACACACACACACACACACACACACACACACACACACACCTCTTGCAAGGCAGAACTAAGAATAGGCAAGGGGAAAAATGCTAATAGGACTGGAAATCAGAGGTGGGGAGGAGTCTATCAGAAGTCATCTCCTTGTGAACCATGTTTTCTTTCTCTTTTACTGTACCCTACAGATTGCAAGAGAGCTGCATCAGTTCACTTTTGACCTGCTAATCAAGTCCCATATGGTGAGCGTGGACTTTCCGGAAATGATGGCAGAGATCATCTCTGTGCAAGTGCCCAAGATCCTTTCTGGGAAAGTCAAGCCTATCTATTTCCACACACAGTGAAGCTTTGGGAGTCCCCATTTCCCTGGCCTACCCTATCCCTTTTCAGATGTCTTTTGCCTGTTATAAATCTGCACTACTTCTCTGCAGTGCCTTGGGGAGTTTCCTCTATTGATGTACAGTCTGTCATGAACATGTTCCTGAGTTCTATTTGCTGGGCTTTTTCTCTTTTCCTCTTTTCTTTTTCTTCTACCCTTTCTAACTTCCCTCCCTAACTCACCTTCAGATTCTGTTCCCTGTTGTGGCTCCTATCTGTATTTTGAGTGGTGGTGTATTTCTTTAAATCTGTGATGATCCTCATGTGGCCTAGTGTCAAGTCATGCTTGTTTACAGCACTCCTCTGTGTGACAGCCACACTAACATTTACTTACCTTATGTCACTGGAAGTTGAGAGAGCTAAAAGTATCCAGGAAAAACAAAATCAAAAAACAAGAAACAACAACCAAAAATGTCAAGAATAAACAAATAAATAAATAAATGGCAAATAGAAATCCTCAAATAAGCCAACAGTAACTAGAAGGAAGTGAAAATTGCAGGCCCATGAGGAGTCATTTTTTGTTCGCCCCTTCCTTCCTGGAATACTTTATTTTTGCAAAGTCTATTGCTATGAGACGACTGGGTGACCCCAGATCTGAGGTGGGGAGACTGAAAGAGGAGACCAGGAAGGCAGATGGATCACCAGTACTTGCCCTCAGGCTTGGCTCCTGAGGGCTACACTGCTCAACTATAGAGCAATTTACTGTATTGAAAATGTGTCTCTTATTTGAAAATTTGCATGTGAATGCCTCCACCCTCAAGACCTTTCTCAATCTCTGCCTCCATCCTTGGATTGACTTTCAATGGCCATTTCTACAAGAATCAGATCAGGGAGACAAAGGAGAGGAGAGATCTGGCACTTTGGGAGATTCCACTCAGCTCTAATCTAGTTTCCAAGGTGTGATCCAGGGAAGAGCTTGGAGCTAGAGTCAGAGGAGAAGGAGGTGATGACTTGGTTTTTCTCCTACTTAGGACACTGAATAGTAGATTTATCAGTACCACCACCTTTTGCTCGCCTTTAAAAGACCTATATACTCCATGTGGCCATAAGCTTCTTCCACACCCTTCAGTGTTTTGTGGGCCACATTACATTTCAGACATGATGATACAGCTTGTTCACTTCTATGAGCATGTTCAAAAACTCTCTGATAAAATTCTTCCTACTATGCAGGCTAGCAGGCCAGTAATCCTGACATCTAGTTCTAGATTCTAATAGTCTCAAAGCTTTTTTTTTTTTTTTTTTTTTTTTTTTACCAAATGTGTCTAATCAATAGTCAGATCGCTGGAGCCCTTAGACAAACTCAGAAGAAGGCATCAAATAGATTAGAAAAACCAGGCATATGGCCTTTGTCCCCAGAGAGGACACCCTCTCATCAAGTGGATAAATTCCCACTCCTTCTCCACAGAAGCTAAAGCAGCTACCCAGATTAGGATGAAAGAAAAAACTAAGTAACCAGGATTGGAAGAATGATGACCCTAGAACCAGAAACCCTAAAATGCTGTCCTTGGCCATTCAGCATATCTACTCACAGAAGTCAGGAGAAGAACGAAAGATCCAAGAGAAGACCCATCTAACTATTGTCTTCAAAGGCAAATCCTAAAGCCAGATGGGCATCAACTGGCTAGATGGGTACTAGTTTACTCATCCTCCTCCTCTGCTACTGATTCTGGGCTCTAACACTGACCATTCTCACTTAGATTTTCCATGATTGTTGTTGCCTATTAGAGGAGAGCTGGACCACTGAGACTTTTCACAGAACCATGGCTTCCTTTGGAAATGTCTGGCGGGTGTGATTGTGACTCTGTCAACCATAGACTCAGAGTATGCCTCTGGGTCACTGATTTCATATAGTCCGTTGGCATACCTCTGTTCCGTTGATTTTGTTCCAACACCAGGTGCAGGGCAGAATCTTCATGTACTTCCTGATCTTGGCCACTGCCTCCTCCCTTAGTTCTTAACTTCATCTATTAAACTCAAGAAATCATGGGTCAGTCACCAAGCTGCCCGTTTCAGCTGGTTTACTCTGCTTGTTGAGAAGATAGTTTCTGAATTTCAAGATGTGATCCACATGGATTTCCTCCACTGATTTCTGTGTTGATATTAATAGACAAATGAACTTGCAAAACAGCTTCTATAAATAATAAGGGAAAGGGGAAACTAAAATGGGTAATATGCCAATCCAAGACTGCTGAACAAAACTGAAGTTGATGGGTTTTCTTTCTGGGGTTGGATAGAATCTGGTTTTCTTTGTGATGGAATCATCTTGCTTAATTACAGGATCACTTTTAGCTGTCTTAAACAAAAAAAGTCTACCACATTTCAGTTAAACTAGGTTGCATTTTAATAGTTCTTTTACATCTGTTTTGAAACAGTTTTCATCTTGTGACATAAGGATTCGATTATATCGTTCTAATACCTCTCCTTGTAAATACTAGAGGCCCCACTTTTCATTTCACTATCAAATTTTTTTTTAATTGAGTTTATTGGTACATTTAGGGATACAGCACAGTACATTTTGGGATCATGTACCTTTACATGGCAAGTCTTGATTCTCATTTTTTTCCCCTTACCTCTGCCCTCCCTTTCCCAATCATGATTCTTGCCTTTATGAATATATATGTTTTTCATTAAAAGCCAAAAATTGGTGAAACAGCAGTGTAATGTAAAGCAACAACAACTGGATCACTCCAAATTTCCAAGTCACAAAACTATAGAAAAACAGCCTAAACAGGGCTTTAGATCTACTGCTTCTGCCTTGGGATTTGAGTGAACAAAGGAGTTTTTAGCTTGGCTTTGTTTCTCAGCGATGAAAAGAAGGTGATTTTTTTTCTTTTGGCCATTAATGTTCCAGCCAGTACACTTGACAGAAGTCTTATTTGTCCATGTACTCTGCTCTATGAACAGAGTTGATCTGTGGTATACTGTGTTCTGCTGTGAAATACTGGCCACCGAGACCCACTCACCTGTTGATCTGGATAATGAAGATCACTCACTGGAAAAGTCAAGAGTACCATCTCCAAAGAAGTCTGCAGCACTGGGTGGGGATGCAAAATAAGAGGAAAAAAAGGAGCAACATAGAGAAGTTCCCATCTGGGCAGCAGACAGTTGCGAAGGTCACTGACTCTGGTCAAAGAAAAGATTCCAGTCATGTGTAGCAGTTTCAGCTCTGTTCATTGGGCAGTTCACTGAATCTGGCTTCTGAACTAGGATGGGGTTACATGCTTTGCTCCATAGATTTTCTGTGCCACAGGCAATATTGTTTTTCTTGAAAAGTTCATTTTTTTAAAAATTACCTTAGTTTGAGAAAGGAATTTCTGGAAGGATTCTACCATATGTCTTTGAAAACAATCAGTAATATGTATATTTTTATGTATGTTCACTGGTACTTAAAAAATGAAAAAAAGAGAGCTTTGCTCTGTTCTCTGTCACTTGGGTAGCTGTTGAGGTAAATTGTCCAGGCTGAGAAATAATGTTCTGATGCTTGAGTCACTCTCTGTCCATACCCTATTTCTATATATATATATGTAGGCATATATAACAAAATGTATTTGACTTGTATTTTAAAATATGTCCACTGTTCACATGATACTGGTACTACACAAGTGACCTAACTTTGAGCTTCAAGTAGCTTCTGAGTGTTTGCTTCATTAGGCACAGCACATATGTGGCCTTGTCTCCTTCTTTCCCTTGATATGAAGCAGGGCACAAAGGCCCATGCAACTCTCTCCCACCTCTTCCCAGCCCTATGCCAGCATTGCTCTTCAGGACACTCTTTAGATAGCCCAGTAACTCTCCCTGCATGACCCCCACAAAGTTGTGGAAAAACAAGGGGCTGACTACCAATTACAATTACTTTATACCAATTGTCCAAGTAAAAGGACACTTGGCCAAGAGCATAGTATTTATGCTTGACCCTCAGTAAGAGGTCACAGGAATGTTAAAGCACCAGATCAAATCCAGATTTAAAGTCAAAAGAAGCCATTTAGCAATGTGAAATTTCTTGGAAAAGGAAGTTTCTAGTGCTACTGCCTTTATAAGCAGATCTGTTCTCATTGCTGATCTCTTTGAAAATCTTTGAAAAGAGTTTTTTTAAAAAAAAAAAAAAGACAAAGAGATGAAAATATCACAGTATGTAACCAAAGATTAAATTGTATCTAAGATACCAAAATTTTTAAGGGCAGAAAGGGAGTAAGCATATAGTGCCTCTTTGGTAAGCTTTCCAAAGACAGACTGAAGAACTTTGCTGGTGACTGAATTATAAGAGTTCTATGAGGGTTTCCACCCTCACAATATTCATGTTTAGAAGAGCTGAAGATAATTTGGAAAATGGAATTATGGGTCCTTCACTAAGTGATTTTATAAGCAGAACTAGCTTTCATTTTCTCTAGTAGTTGCTGAGCAAACTCTTGAAGCTCCATCACTGCATGGTTGAAAATGGAGCTGGTCTTGGCCACTGTGTTTGCTAGTGCCCATGTTAGCTTATCTAAAGATGTGAAACTTTTGCTGAGAAGAGGAGCATTTAAAAGACTAGATTTTGCACTAGAAGGACAACAGACAGAAATTCTTATTTCTGCCCAGTTTGGACAGCACAAAAAGTTCTCTGCAGTTTGAGGCAGAAGGTTGAAATATATTGTAAATGAGTATTTGTATCCATGTTTTAAAACTGAATTATATATATATAGATATAATGTGTTCTAAAGCTTTATCTTTCTCTGCACCTTTATATTTGGTTCCAGGTCATATCTGATGCCTTGTACTTGTAAGAGAGGCTGCAGTTGCATTAAGGAAACTCTCAGAATGAACAAGACACCTGGATTGATCAGATAACAAAAAGATCTCTGCCCCTCTTGGGTCTGATACACAGGCCTTACAAAGGGGCAGGAGGGGAAAGAGGGTAGGGTACATGATGTATTGCACTTTACTATTCTAAGACAGATGAATGTGGAAAAGGTGGTGAAGACTCTTTGGAGCTGGCTGGAATTTACCATAGGGAAAAGCCAGACTTCGGGCCAAAAGCCCACCCAAATAACTGGCCAGTGTCCTCTAAATGGTACCCAAGCTGTTGGAAGAAGAAGGCATATACCTTGGTCTTCACCATTCTTGTGAGAGAAGGGCAGTTGCCTGCACTTGGGAACCTGGAGCAAGTGCTCCATCTTTCACACCAATTCTCTCCTCTGTGATTGAGGTGCTCTTGCTACTGGGTGTCTGTATTGGTCTAATTCTGATTTTGGATATGTTTTGTAAAGATTTGAAAATTGAAAATGTGTTTTTCTCTGTTAAAACTTATCAATGTACTAGAAGTTGTATCTTGGTAGATACAGGTCCACCTCTGCCCGAGAGTAGAGGTATTTTTTGTCAGTAAAGAGCTTGAGACTGAGGTCTGTTGCCCAGAGCCTCCCAACCTATTTCTAGGTGAAGGCAGAAAAATTCACATTAGTCACTTCTCTTCAGACACTTAAGGTAAGATAACAAATCACTTGGAATTCCCATACCCCACAAAAGAATGGTAGCTATTTGAATTTAGTAGGTGGAATTTTACAGTAAAAACAGTTTTCCAGTCCTAATTCATTATAACAGGGCATCAGGTTCCTTTCCATGCCCCTTTTATCTCCTAGTATTTTGTGGAATTAAATAAAAATCTGTAGAATGGGTGGCCCTTATGGCCTGCAAAAGTTCCCACATAAGCTTCTTTTTTTGTTTGTTTGTTTGTTTGTATTTGAGACAGGGTCTCACTGTGTAGTTGAAACTGACCTGGAAATCACTCTGTAGCCCAGGCTGGTCTCAAACTCACAGCCATCCTCCTGCCTCAGCCTCCCGAGCGCTGGGATTACAGGCATCGCCACCACGCCCGGCTTCACATAAGCTACTTAGCAAAACCATCATGTGCCTACAGTTTCCATTGGCCACCGAAGACTAGAACAAACATATGCATACTTCAAAGGATAGTTAATACTGAAATGTTGCTGCTTCTCCCATGGCACCCTCCTTGGCTGACTGCTTCCTCACAGTTTGGGATTCTATACTCTGCATAATAGACAAGCCTAGCTTGTAGTCTCACAATCTCAGCCCTCAGGGCTAACTGTCCTTCAGTGAAGTGCCTATGGTGTTGTCCTATTTCTTTAGCCACTTGGGTGCTGAGAGCAGTCACAATTGGGACAATGCAAATCAAAACTAAATAAATGAATAAATGTCCCTTCACTACCTAGTGACACCTTTCTGCTTTCCCCTAGACTGGACAATGATTCGGGAGTGCCTTGGATATAACATTCTTGTGCTGTCCTTGAGGTTAATTTGGCAGCAGGAGGGAGAATATTATGTGACCAGAGATAAGAGCTTATTTTTTGATGTTGAGAGAAAAAGCATTATTGAAAAAATTTTAAAAGAAACAATTTTGCTTGAAACTTCGTTCATTGGGGCTTCAGTTCTCACAGTGGCTCTTGGCCTCTCCTGGGCAGCAGGACCAGCTCCAAGTGCTAGTGTTCTGTGCTCTTTTTGTAATCTTGAAATCTTTTGTTGCTCTAAATATAATTAAAATGGCAGAAACTTGTTTGTTGGAATCCACGTGTGACTCTGGGTTTGTCTCTGCATCTGCTTTCAGAAATATCCATTGTGTAAAATACTGGCCTGTTTCTCTGCAGACTAAAACTTGGCCACAGCCCCTGTTGTGGCTGCAGGCTCAAGTTATTGTTAAAAGAGACCCTAGAAAAGCTGCTAATGTCCTCTTATCACCACTGTTAATTTGTTAAACATACATAAAACAATCTACGATGAATGTCATCAGTACTTTTAATTAACCCATTTTTTGGCTACTTTTATTGAAATTTGATATCATGGTCAGTGGCCTTTTATGGCACTTTTATTTTCACATATTTTTAAAAATCGTTGCACAGAAATTATACATTTGCCCTGTGTTGGGCTTAGGTTAACCTGGGAACAACAAAATAGCAAAGGACCTGGGTTAGAACATCAGATGGATATTAGCAGCTTATCACAACCTTTCATAAGAAACCCCACATTTGTCAGCCAAGGGAAATCAACACAAAGCTCAGCTGCTCACCCTGACATCATCATACTTGCAGAAGCAGAAAATGGTGGCATTACTGCCTAGTTTTAACCAAGCTGCAGGGAAAGAATGGGCAATTCATATCTTTACTGTTTTTTTAAGTGACATATCATCCTCAACTATGAAGACAAAATCCAAGCCAGCCTTTTGTTTGGTTCTTCAGTTCAAACAACGTCCTTTCCTGTGGCCTCTTGATGTGAATGCTTATGAGAT